ACCGACCACCAAAGTCGCTGTCCTCTAGTCCCCCGAGTCCGTGTGCTCCTCCAAGAATGACGCCCCCAGGGGGAAACGACACAAGAGAGTCGCCGTCATTCGATCTACTGATTTAGGGTTTCCCCCGGAGGTAGCATAGAGTGGCCTTTTACATCTCCACGGCGATGCCTTCAGGAAGGGAACGACGCAGACAACGTCGCCATCGCCGGCCTTGGCAATAGCCAATAGCAGGTTTTCACCCAGATCTGATCGAAGACCTCCATCTCTCGTGCACGGGTCGCCGCCGTCCTTGCCGGGATCTGGATGATCCCGCTTGCCAGATCTCAGCACGGAGAAGCCCCCCACCGAGACCTGGTAGTAGAGGGTCCATTTCCTATTCCCTCTATCTCTCCACCTTCTACCTCCCTCACGCCATTAGAGTATGGGTTATGCCTAAATGACTGAATGTGGCAGCCATGGGGTAGACGGAGCCGCTTGCCGGTAGCATGGCGGCGTATGTGGATGCGATGATATGGTCTAGAACTGGGTGAGCCAGCTCCCTGACCAGGTGTAGGCTGTCGTGCATGCTGGATGGCGTCGACAGAGTCGTCATCGCTACCCACCACCCCGAGGGCAGCGGCAACACACACACCTCCTTGCCCTCATCATCATCCAACACTTGCTTGCTCTCTACCAAGCAATTGCATTTTTGGCCCTGGCCCCGCAACCACATGTACTAACCATAATGGCAAGCCGCCGGTGAGACATTCTACAATATTGCAAACCCTCCATAGCTAAGGGTGCAAAGGGGCCACCCGTCGGCTGACATATGCACCATGTCTCGCAAGATAAATGGAACTGTGGGGCTAAAATTGAGGAGATAATTCCAACATGTTATACAAATGAGATGATAACCACTTTCTTACTGAGCCATATTTGATTGATCATTTTTTCTATCATACAAAGATCTAGTACTTCGTCGTATGATGTGTGATCATTATGTGGGCTTAGGAAAATCGGTAAGGAATCTTACTAATGGAATAAGCTTCTTAATTTTTCGCTAGTTGTTACTATTATCGGCGGCTTGGGGGAGTGGGGCCTATGGTTTGTCGTCCGAGTCCTTCTAGGACAACACAGAGGTGGTGGCTAGGTTTCGGGTCTACAGGTTGCTGTTCCAAAATTCCAGGATAGGATTTCACGCGTCTAGTTTGTTGAGTACTTGACTGGCTGCTAGCAAAGCTGCCTTGTGTTAGAGTTGTGTCGAATATTGTGTACAAGGTAGGTTACAGTTGGAATCTGAGTAATATTATGTTTAGATAGGATATGTTGTCGTGTCCTAGTAAGACACTTGTATCCTAGGCCTCTCATATATAGCGGTGGTACACACACGATGTAAGCTATGCCAACATAATAGCACAGGCGCGCAAGGGGGAGCTGGCGGCGTGTGCCGGCGCCCGGGTGGCCGGTGTGCGGTATTGTGACGGTGTCACGGGGAGGAGCGCCCGTAGTCGTGCCCCGGGGATGTAGCCATATCGGTGAACCTCATTAACAAATCTCGGTGTCGTGCTCATGTGATTGCTTGGTCCTCGGATGATCGACAATATGCCTCGGATTTATTCTAACAAGTGGTATCAAAGCAAGGTTCGAAGTGGCCCTGGAATTGATCTAGAGGAAGGTTTAATGTGTTCATCGATATCGTTTGCGCGTTTGAGATCGATTATACAATACGTCAGGCGAAGGCAATCTCACGAGTTGTGAAGATCCGATTCTGAGTTCGCAGCAGATGCAGGCGACATCCGGGTAGCGCGGGCGCGCCTGGCTCTGAAGCGGAAGCGGCCCAGGCGGTGTAAGCTGGCCTATGGGGCTAGCTAGTGCACGTGTTCTGTTCGTGGACCGGGCGTGGAAGGTGACGCCTAGGTGCTGCGTGGAAGACTGTGGGGCAGATCTGATTGATACTTTATGGGAGATTTGTTTTGGACAAAAAAGATAGGGATCAAGTCCCTGTAGGCAGCGGCCTCTCCTATGCGACACAGAGGCAGAGGCACAAACAGATCGATTTGAGCGGAGGGAAAAAGACCATCACGTTGTGCATCCATTGGAAAGCAGAGACTTGGCAAGGAAATACCACTATTAGGGAAAAGCCTAGCAGCAGCGCGGGTTTTGGGCCTCTCAGTAGCGCGGGTGCCGGCGCTACTAATAAGGCGCTACAGCTAACATACAGCAGTAGCGCCTGTTGTCCCACGCTACTGCTATACATGAATAGTTGTAGCGCGCTTTAGGAAAGGGCGCTACTGATA